TAACAATGTTGAATCCCCTTTCGCATACGTATACTTATGAAAGTGATGCATAATACGATCTTATGTTTTTATACTCAGCGCGCCAGAAATCGCGTCGCGCAAATACACTGCGGTACGCAATGGGTTAAATTACTGCCCAAACTACAAATAGCTTCTTTGTACTGCATAGTAGATTTAGTTTCATAGCAAGACTAGTAGCTTACAAATGTTACATTGTGATGTCAAAACCTGTCTTGGATAATAGTCATGTCCGTTTTGTGCGGTGTGCTTGTCCACTCGAATTTCATGTTGCCTTTTCCAGCTTTTTTCCAAAGAATGCCAACTGTACTAACCTTGGTGTAACATATGCTATCCACCGGTTTGGTTGGTTTGTGCAGGCAAGCGCTAAAATTACGTGCTCAGAATTGGAGAGCATGATTTAAGGATTCATTGAAGCGACAGGCACTCAGCTGACGATCAGATCGTTGGTTGGTTCGTCTATTTCCGCTGGATCAAACCACACTTCCCAATATTCTTCATTAGGAACGGGTTATCATCACCTAGCCGCGTTCGTTGAGTTAAAGGAGCTCTGACCTCTTGCGAAGGTGTTCGCTGGAGCACTCTGGAGGATCCTGTAAGGGGACTCATTGGTAGTTGAGTTTCATATGATATCCAAAAGCGCAAAACAAAGCAGGTGAAGTTCGTTTCTCAAAAGAAATCAAAGCGACCCGTGACATTATGCGTACAATACGAAAGCTCGCTTGGGAAGGTTTTCAAAAATCTGGAAATGAGAATTGTCCTGATCAGGGAACGTCTCGCACATTCTGGAATCCCCAGTGGGGAGGGTCTTTGGTCGTTGAAGGGAGGTCGTATTCGCATTTGAGAGATATTGAAAATTTCTTGCGGTAGTTGACTTTTCCCATTTTACATGTGTTATGAATATCCCCCTCCCACCCCCCGCCGCTCGGCGGCAAACTTTTGGCGGTAAAGGTTGTGGTAGGTTGGGATAATCGGGAGCATCTAGGAAATTAGGAAAGTGATAGGTAGAATAGAGATGGGGAGCGAGCTTTCCCAGAATTTTCCTCAGCGACAGAACGAGCCCTGGTCTTGATGCTCCGGACAGTTGCAGGGAAATCAGAGTTCAGCCCGGCCACTGTCAATAGGCTACTTTCTTGCAGCATCCAAGAGGAAAAACATGGTTTCAGAGCTCAGTATGCTCCTTGACCATTCACACCGTATGTATTTTGGTGACACTTGTTCGTATACTGTAAAAATACAACAGTCCTCAATCTATTTTTTCACCATTTTTTCCAGCGGTGGTTTCTTGAACACGTAATTTTGTCGCAGGGTACAGCATCGTTGTGTGGAACACATAGGGGGTTGTACTTTTCCGCTGCGGAGGGGGGTCGTATTTGGTCGGTGTTGGGGGAAGGGGCTGCCTTGGAGAGACCCCTCCTCCGCTCCCCCCTCCTCACGCTCGACGGAAAAAACTCCCTGGGTGAAAAACTGGAAAATTTGGGAAATGGGTATTGGTAGGTAGGTGTTGGCGAAGGGTGGGGGTCGTACCGAGCCCTCATTTAGGTGGGTGGTCGTACTGTCACCCTCTCTGGGAAGGGGGCTGGTCGTACCTACACCACCATTTCACACACACGATGCTGTACCCTGTTTCGGCGCCCCTTATCATTCGAAAAGTGCTTCACTAAGGCGG